TCTTTCAGCCTTCGTTCGCCTCGGAGACTAGAAGAACAATAGAGCGAAACTCTTTTGAATTTCCCGGTAGGATATTAATATATGCCAAGCTCCGCCTCCGCAAACAGTAGGACACACGCCGACGCTATAAGGCATTAAAACTGAGAGGTAATAAAATGTATCACCATCGTATTTAAAGTAACGCTTTGCGCGAGTTGCAGTAAACGAATTTTCAGCATGTCATCTGTGCAAGAAATGCAGCGCGTTGATCGGGAGCTCTTGTCAGAGCTCATTGAATCCCCGGTCAACCCCGCTTTCTTGCACATGTTCACTCCACTAAAAGGCTACGACCCAATATTTTATCTCCAAATAAACGGAGACTGTTTACGGTCTCCTTTGATCACAGGTAAGCCCGCTGCTTTTTATAACCTGCTACGTATATCGGCTGTTTTGTTTTGTTTTGTTTTGTTTTGTTTTGTTTTGTGTTCCATCTACAACAAGCCGCATTTCGCACTTAAAAAAAAGCCTTTATCGCAGGTTAAGCTTTTCAAACCGCCTGTTGTACGTGGAACTATTTCGATAATTCAGAAAATGTTTCTACCAACGGGAGTTGGTTAGCTTCTAAGTCAAATAAAGATGTCGCTGCACACGGATTTGCAAAACGCTTTGTGAAGAGTGCGGCCTGCCTTTAATTGGTGGGCTATTGTTAACTGNCTACCAACGGGAGTTGGTTAGCTTCTAAGTCAAATAAAGATGTCGCTGCACACGGATTTGCAAAACGCTTTGTGAAGAGTGCGGCCTGCCTTTAATTGGTGGGCTATTGTTAACTGTATTGCACCTTGGGATTTATTTTACGCATTCAACCGTCTGATTGACAGCAGCTCAAATCTGTGAAGAGACTCAAGTATTCCTAAAGCTAAATCTGTTGACCAATCACAGCCAACTAGTTCTAGACATGTAAATTATGCCGCGAGTTAATAATCTGAGAACTGTAAGTACATGTCGCGAAAGACAATGGCATTCTGAGCGATGGGCGACAAATTTGCTCTGTTTGCTTGGTTCGCGCTTTTAACTTTAACTTCAAAATGTCTAAATTGAAGTAAAATCCGAAGAAAACCGACAAGGAAGCAGTTAGTTCCTTTATTTGGACCGATGATGAGGTTGAATTGCTACTCAAGGTCACGATGGAGCACAAAACTTAAGAGCTATCGAGAATGCAGACTGGGAGTCTTGTCAACACAAGTATGGCGACATATTAAAACTCCTTCTCGATCAATATCCTACACCGGAGAACGCAGTGGCCATTGAAAATTATTTTCCACATGACAAGGAACAAATCACCCAGTCGAGTTTGACATACAAGCTTAAAATGATTCGCAAAAAGTTCAGGCAAGCGATAGACTCTGGAAGTGAAGGAAAAGCGGACATGGCCGCGTTGTACTGTTCTATTTTGATTTATATGAAGAGACATTCGGTGATTCTCCTGCAAGAACAACGAAAGCAGACGGGATAGAGACAACTGATGTGGACTTGGAAAACTACGAGAGTTCCTGCAGCCCTGAATCGACTAAAACGGGCAGATCCGACAGCCCTGAACTGGAGAGTGTGGATAGCCCTAAAACTGATGATGGAATTACAGATAATTCTTCCACCCCAAGCATTTTCTCCTGCAAGGGGACGGTTAAAGAAAGGAGAGTTCTCCTTAATGCGAGATTAAAAGTTTATAAGGGAGAGAGACTGAAAAGGAAATCACCTGTGGACACTCAACTTTTGACTGTTTTTCAAGAAGAGCTTCAGGTAAAAAAAACAACCACTAGAAAAAATGAAAAATATGGATAAGGCCAACACCAATCACCTGGAAAAGCTAACTTCCAACATAGAGAAACTAACAGGATCGATATCAGATAGGTTTGCACTGATGCGACAAATGATGTGTCCTGTACCAG